CACACACACACACACACACACACACACACACACACACACACACACACTGCCACCTGTGCAGGTGCTACTGGGTGGAGGACCAGAGGGATTTGGAATAGACAAAGGTCCAATCCGTTAGGCTGCTTCCTCAGATTGGCTGCTACATGTACATACACACTACGAAAATAACTTAATGTACCAATGCAAAGTCAATATGCCTGTATCCTGCACACTGTGTAATGAACATAATGCAGTTTGTTTGGCTACACTCTATAGAACGATCAATACTAGATGCATCGCCTGCAGGAAATAATTGATCATTGATTTGTTGTACCTATTGTTTATCGTATTTCCATTGAATGAAGGGCTTTGTCATCACCATCATCAGTGTGTGCGATTATCTAAACGCTGTTCCTAAACAAACACACACCTTCATGCGCTCGCTGTTATTGAGTAGCACGTTGCGGAGCTCTTTGGACACCATGTACAAGTGTCTCTTCTTGCCATCGTGGGTCCTGGTCAGAACGTTGAGCTTGGGGAAGTTGGGTGACAGATCGTAGAAAGATCTAGAGAAAACAGACACAAAAAAACAAGTGTTTTGAGATGCCAAAAATGTTGAATGTCCATGTCGAATACACCGAGAGACACTTACTGTATGGTGGTGAAGACGGGGTCTTCTTCAGTAAGGAACACAAAGGGGTCTTCTTTATATCCAAACAGCTTCATCTTCTTGAAGGCTGGAGGTCTGAGAGGAGACAGACATTCAGCTATGACTCAAATAATTTACTCATTTAAATTAAAAATACTCTAATACTTTAATGATGACATGGCCGATGGTAAATTATGGAAATTCATTCAAATCTGCATATTCCTCGGGACCCAAAGAGTAATCTCTCATTAAAAGCAATGTCATCGTTTTACTATAACGGCTCGAGAACTCCTCAAGGTTTTCCTTTTGTTTATTAGCTCACCACACCAACATGACTCACCCACACACTCCATCCTGTTTAGCAGTGGTCTCCTGGGCAGAGGAAGCTCCTTTGGGTGCCTCCTCCTCTGCCTCCTTGTCTACTTTTCCCTCCGGTCCTCCCCCCTCCCCCTCCCCCTCAGCACTTTCTGGGAGGCGGGGAGCGTCTGCGGGGGTCGAGGCCGCCGGGGAGCCTTCAGTCTGGGCCGCCGAGCCGGACGAGACGTCCTTCCTCAGCTGGAGATGGCGAGGAGGGAGGCGAGCAGACAAAGGGAGAAGAGAGAAGAAGTCCCAGCTGTGGTTAGTAACAGGTGAATGATGCATTGTGGGAGGGGGGGGGGGGATAGGGGGGCATAATACATTGAATTCTGCTCCATTTCCCTCTCCCTAAAGTGTAAGAGAGACAATCCAATCATCCATTAAGTGTGTGCGTTTGTGAGGATGTACCTTGGGATATCTTTTGTTCCAAGGCATGGGGGCTTTCTTCACCAGCACAGCCACAAAGAAACCTCCTGTGTTCTGGTGATGTGGCAGAATCCTCATACTGCCAGTGTAAACACACACACAAACACACACACACACACACACACACACACACACACACACGTAAATCACGGCTTTCAGTTTTATGGTGCCACCTACTGTGAAGATAAACATGGATATTTTTTTCCCTCCAGCGTTAAATAAAAAAAGATGCCGAGCCAACGCGTGACAATGCTTCCCTCTGCTGGCCGGCATCGAGCCCGCCTGAGCATTAAGAGTAAAAGCTGCAGAGTACAGATGACATCACCCACCGTTAAGTGACAGTGCAGGTGTGCACATGCAGGTGTGCATCCACGCAGACAAAATTATGAGACAAATTAGCGAAGGGTTTGGGGAGGGAAAGAGTTTGTGTAGCTAGAAAATATCTCTCCCATTTCTATAAACTGACAAAAAAAAACATCTACGGAACATTCTTATTAGAGGAATAAATTATATATAAATCGCCCCGTTGTTACCGAACTCACCAAAAGAACACACAGATTATTTGGATAAAGGCTCCCCACGCCCCCTTTCGTTTTGGCTGTAGAGCCTTCAGCCCAAGCTGTTAGAACCGAGCCAAACATTTGCATCCTTCACATGAAATAACACCACAGTACGAGCGGTGTACATACCATCTCTCCAGATGCATGTCGGCCAGTTTCTCTGGGTCTGTCGGCGGGAACATGGTGGGGCGGATCTGTGTGCGACGATTGCTCGGAACCTCGGACCAGTCCGAGAACCACTGGCCCTCTTTGGTCATCAGCTGCAGAGACGGCAACCGTTAAAGCGTGCAATGAAAGCAATCCACAGTCAGAACACCGGCATACAAAACACCGTTTTCCTTCATGGTTTGCCGTTTGTTGCGATGACCGTCAAAGACTAAACGTTGCAGTACCTTCCAGGCAGCGACCCCAGGCATCCACTTCAGCCCCGGCAGATCAGCTGAGCCGTCGACCAGCTCCAACGCCCCTGGCAATGGTGACGGGAAAGACATTACAGGTTAAGTCAGGTTAAATAACCGCTCATAGAAAATATACGGTTACATTAAGCAGCTCAAAAGTGAATTAAACTGTGGAGTTTGCTCTACAGCTTTTGACCTAATGTGCTCCAACTCTGCTACTGCGAACAGTTTTACAATAGAACACACAGCAGAGTATTCAATGAAAACTCAACGACGTCCAGTTACTAAAATCTCCTCCCAGCAAAGCTCAGAACCTCATAATGTCTTAATAGCAGCAACCTACATTTCACCTAATATTTATTGTCAAAGTGGGATATTTGTAACATACAGACTTGTACTTAGTTCTAAATTCAAGTAAAAGAAATAATCTTCTGAATAGAAAAAGTGTAAACAGAGTTTTTTGAGCAGCACCCTTTTATCTTTGTTTTTAAATTTCTTCTTGCCTCCTTCCTCTCCCAGTGATAGAAAACGGCTCTGCCAGTAGTTTTAATCTCATTGAAATATTAACCAGCATCGTTTGAAAAAATTTGACAATTTTGGAAACAATTAATGTTCTGCTTTCAGGATCTCAGACGATTTAGTGCTTTTCCTTGAGATAATAAGCTGAATATTGTTGGGTTTTATACAAAAAGAGAAAATTCTGATGAGCATTTGTCACATCTTTTTAACATGATATCTGTGATGGATGTCTTAGATGTAAATGTTAAAAAAAAGAAAAAAAAGAAAATGGGATTTGATTTGATTTGATTTGAATAAAAAGTCCAACAGATATTGCTTAAATTGTACGACCCTGGTAGTGTTTGTGTGTGCTTCTTACCTTCGCTCTTCTCCAGCAGTGCAGCGATGACAGCTTCGTCCTCTATAGGGTTGAGTGAACAGGTGGAGTAGACCATCCTCCCTCCCACAGCCAGCTGTTCAACACCGCGCACAGCGATTCGCAGCTGGAGCCTGGTGAACACACACACACACACACACACACACACACATCTGTAGTACTGCTAACTTTTTTTTAATTAGCAGCACAAGAACACACTCCATTCCCTTGTCCTTTAGTCAATTTGGTCTACCACACAAGTGCGTGAATTCCTATGTTGTTACGTAGGCACAAACACAAACTCCCCCCCCCCCCCCCCCCCCCGTGGAGGCGCAGGCTGTTGCTGGTCGTCCATTTCTTCCCCACGTCTATGTTCTTCCTCAAGGTGCCGTCCCCGCTAAAGAACACAG